TTCAGCTGTCAGGCACTATTGAACCTTCAAACAGGACTGGGTTCTATGGTCAGATAAAATGAAAATGTTTGCAGGAAACACTCAAGGAGGAAATCAGCTTATTAATTTCTGGACTAGACTAAGTCTAGGACTACTTAAAACCATGACATAGAAAGCAGATTTCTGTTAATCTGGTTTAGAGGGCCATTTGAATCTAGGACTAGGCTTAATCTCTGTCTGGGAAACGGCCCCTATGCCACCAAATACTGTTGATTGTGGTTCACTTGTGTTGAATCCATAATATTCCTACAGTATAAGAACAGAAGAGATGAGAGCGACACCACCCACAGCTCCTCTCAAGCCTCCTTAACACATACACACGCTCATACGTAAGCATTCATCTTCTGTCAGGCTGGAGAGGGCGCCCGGGGCTCGCAGTGCAGGGCGGGTTGTGCCGAGCCCATCCCGTCAGGATTGTGTAGCGGCCGTTGACAGCTCCCTGCACGCATTATGCATTAATACATCCAGCACTAACACATTATCACAGCACTGTCGGAGAGGTGGATCAGTGGAAGCTTCTCTAGCTGTCTCTACTTCCTCTCACTCTGTTTATGCCTTTTCCCTGGCTTATTAGTTAGTTGTACAGGTCCTATTATTTCCTACTGTCTTCCTGTCCTAACCTCTTCAGAGCTTGAGGAGAGCAGTTAATTGGCTGGAAGAGACATTTCCAGTTCATCAATAGGTAACTATAGACTCCCACTCTTCCTCTGGATACTGTATTTCTATCCTTGAAAAACAGCCCTAAAGCATAGGAGTAAACGGCTCATCTCCCTGGCGACCCCAGCGGTCCATAGCCTCTCAGCTTGCGACGCCGGTCACATTCTAACACGCAATTTGCCTGATTGTCTCAGCCTGAGAGGGCAGCTTATCTGTGCTAACACAGCGGAGTCGCGTACACACCTTATACCTTTTGCATTTTAATCAGCTCATTCTTTTCCTCGACACTCATCAACTCTCGGCGACAATAGGTGGAAAAGCGCCGACTGTTATTTAATGGGTTTGCAGACGCAATTCTGTGTACTGTCACAAAACAAACAGAGCGCCACTGAGAAGGAAGCGGTTTATGTGGAACATCGGACTCTTCTCAATGTGTACTTCATGACAAACACATCAGAACTGATTTAAAAAACCGCTTTACATCAGACTGATGAAATCAGATGTCTTAGAGGCAGGCTTTTGGAGATGAGGCCAATCTGTCGAAGCAGAAGTAATGAGTCAGAGCTTAGCTGCCATCAGTTATGACCGTGAGGATGAGGAAAGTACCGGAATGCATCAGTCCGTCTCAAAGGCCATCATAGACTGAACAGACTTGTTTATCATTTTAGGGAAAAAATACTCTGCATAGGCGAGAGAGGGGTCGCAATCATGTGGCAATCGTGCAAACATGTTAGGGATGAATCATGTGGCAATAAATAAATTATTTTCTAATTTAAAATATTTTTAATTTTATTTTTAAATAAAATATTACAAATAAAATGAATATTATTATATATTAGTAAAACATTATAAATTATTTTTGAACATTTATATTTATAATAGTATTTTTTTGCATTAAAAAGCGTTAAATTTTTTCATGTACATCTCTCAATCGCTGTCAGCTGTATATGATTTCCTTTTTCTACACATATGGTCACATGACAAAAGTTGTGCACAGTTTGTTTTGTTTTTTTTAGTAAGGGGGTGTCACTTCTTACCCATAGACCCATTTTGCCCCATCCCCCCTTATTGGGTTCCATTAGTCCAGAGGTTCTCAACCAGGGCTGTAGCTATAGGGAATTCTGGGCCCCCTGAAAAAAATATTGATGTGGGCCCCCACTGCCCTCTACTCAAAGCGGTATAAGATATGGGGATGGAGGCCCACATCTGGTGCCATGTTTTGTTTTTGTTTTTTTTTTTGTTTTCAAAAAATAACAAAACAGAAAATACACACATACATACAATGGTTCCCTGATAGCACACATACATCACAGAGACGTCAATTTGATGTCTTGGGCAGCGAAATGATCAAGTGCATGGCATCCCATCACAATGACATCCCTACCTCCCTTGTCTTGCAAAATAACGTTTTGATAGACTGATTAAGCAGTTCTTCTGGCCTCCCTCTCCTTTTCATGACTTTACTGGTACCCAGATTTCCCCCCCCCCCAGCATTTTCAGTCAGTCTCACTTCCACTGTCACTTTACTTCTAACTTCAGCTGTTCTCGGAGCAGCCTCAACTCTGATTGGTTCTGTTCACTAGCTGGGGTGGGACCTGTGATTTTATTGGGTCCCTCTCCTTTTTGCAGCTGACTGAGCTGAAATAATCAATAACCATCAGACTAAACCATTTTTATGGAGAGGAGAGGGGAGATATTTGGAACACATTTTTTACTAAATTGCATGTTTTTGAGGTTTTCATTAAACTCTCAGGCATACAAGCTGACTTTGTAATATATATACTAACATTATTCATATAAGAGTATGGGAATATATAGCATTACTACTGAATTTAGTGAGCCCCTTGGGCAGTGGGGGCCCCTATAATTGTCACCACCTTTCACCCCACTAGCGAACGCCCTGTTCTCAACTATTAAGGCCCTGGGCCCACTAGGGGCCCTAATAAGTCTTAAATTATCTCTCAACTTTCCTTCAGCATCGTTACAAAGTGTAAAAACACGGCCTGTATGTGGTTGTTGTCTGCAGTATCAGGGTGTGTATTAGCACTTCCTCCACACAAACATTTGCAATGAGTTTTTTGGAAGTGCGAGTGGTTGGTTAGTTAGAGAGCCCAGGCCGATTAAGTGCGAGGTTCAGAAGTGCAAAGATTTTAGAGAGAGAGAGAGGAGGAAAAAAGAATGAACACTTTGATCACTCAACACACGAAAGCGCCACTGATCTCATCCTTACGATGCCGCTTGCCAGGTTTATCACATGCGTGTGAGTGGGTTTGTGGAGTGTGGTCTTTAGAGACAGGCACAAACCTTTAATTAAACAAGTGGGTTCTCTTAACAGATTTACACAAAGTAAAACCCACAAATGACTGAGGAGACTGTAGGCTGATATGACGCACGGTAGAGGTGAAAACAGGGATGGAGATAGTGAGAATGAATTAGAGCCGATGGCATGTCTAAGGACAGTAGGAAATTAAACTAGCCCTCTCTGAAGTGACACGGTCTGTTCCCTTTTCAGCATCTCTGTGTTTGTCAATGCCTCATGAATATGTATCATCTAAATAATAATGATAATAACCAGATGGTTCCTCTGAGTATCAAAAATAGATATGTATTCATTCCAGCTAAATGAAGAAATAAAGAGTATGCGAGGAGTATACTGGTCATGGTTTTATATACATTTACAATTAGTGGTAACTGAAGTTTAAAGCTTCAAAAAGGATACAAAAGAACCATAATTTTTTTTTTTAAATGGTCCGTGTTTTGTGCTATATTCTAAATTTTATGATAGCTTTCTGATGAGCAGACTGAAATTTAAGTTCTTGTTAACTGTATTTCTCATCTAGTGAGGTGTTAACTGCTGCAGTCAAATATTTGAGTCCCTAAACTGGATTTGAGATCCAAACCAGTCCACTTTGTGAACAAATCATCCATTGGGTTTGTCAGTTGCATCAACTGATTTGTTGCGGTGTTATTATAAACTGAAACTAATGAAATAGTTTTTTGTTAATTTAAATTAAGCTGAAATAATACAATAAATATTATTATAATTAAAAAATTATATTAGATAAAAAACTTAAATTACAAATGCCAAATAGCTAAAATAAAATAAGTTCAAGTAGAAGTTTAAATGACTAAAACAAAAATTAATAAATATGACAAGCACATAAGATTACTAAAATTAACATGACAAATAAAAATATTAAAATAAAACATAATTTAAAATATCATTAATTAAAATATATAAGTTTATAAAGTATATAAATAATACGAAAATAACACTGATTCACTGGCAAAATCTGATTCACATGTGTGATTTGTTCACGAATCAGACTTGCTTATTACATTTTTCACACATACTTATCATATGGCTTCAATAGACTTGGACTTGGAATATATATATAATGCATGAGTCATATGGACCACTTATGATGCTTTTAAGACACTTTTTTTGTCATTTTGAAACTTGACAGCCCCAATTCACTTTCACTATATCAAAGAGCGGCATCTGTTTGTGTTGGGTTTGGCACGACAAAAGTAAATGATGACAGAAATTTCATTTTTGTGTAAATCATTACTTCAACTTCATTCCTGAGTGGTGGATTGTTTAAAAAGAAATAGACAAAGTCTTTTGCAGAAAAAACAGGGCTTTCTTATTTTCAGAGTGAAGAAAGCTGATTAGGTCCCTCCAGCATTAGTACGGGTACACTGAAGCATAGCAATTGAGAATGTTTTGTGAATGCAAAGCTCGCTTGAAATGGTCCGTGGTGAATTAGAGTGACTTGTTTGTACACCCACCCAGCTGTGACCGTATATTCAAGTCTGGGACACTGAGCTGTTCTTCAACCCGGGTTAAGCCACTTCACTCTGCCATCTGTATCGACACGGGGCACGTCTGAGCCGTGTGGAGGTGCTGGGAGACCGTGCCTCATTTTAACCCAATCTTATCTCAGTAATAGGGTTCGTGTTTGGAGTTCACCCATAGAGTTCACCTTAAACAGACTTTATAGTGTGAACATGACAAGCAGCCAGCCAATTATCCGAACACGACCAAGAGTACATCATGTAATAAGTGCTAACATTAATATTAATAAAACGTATTAATATTACTAAAACTTTGGCACGTAACTCATCTTGTACCGTGTGTGCTAGATGCATGAATATGTACAAGCATACTGTATAAAACTTAAAACCAAGTCCAGCGAGCAACTACATAGCAACACTCTAAGAGCCACTTACAACATCTCAGATGGCGTCAAATGTTATGCAGGCATTTTCTACACTCACTTTCTATTTTCCTTGATTTTCAGCACTGAAGGACCCATGCAGCGAGGTGTCCTGTAGCTTTGGCAGCACCTGCATCCAGTCATCCGACGGTCTGTCCGCCAAGTGCATGTGTCCTCTGAGTTGTGAGAACGTCCCCAAGTACGTGGTGTGCGGCAATGACGGCCTGGACTACCAAAGTGAATGTGAGCTCAACATGAAAGCCTGCGCCACTCAGAAGAACATCCGTGTGCATCACCAAGGCCGTTGCGGTGAGTCTGTGGAGCCTTTAAATAGTCATTAGCATTCCATTTACTGTGATTATCACATGTAGTTCTGTTACCATCTTCCCATTCATGCATTGCAGCTTCCTTCTAACTGATCGCAGGTCGTTTTGACTGCTTTTAGAATGCAATTGTGGTCAGTGTTGGGGAGTGTTACTTTTAAAATACAAGGGACCCCCTTCCTAAAACATATTGGCAACTATATATATATAGCTATACATACCAATTGTACAGTGAGAAAATAAACTTGTTACAAAGAAAAGCATGTTGAATTCAGTAAATATTTATTTATTTATTTGTATATTGAAAATAATGATTCCATTATTACTATGGAATATTATATATTAATTATTATTATGTATTATTTAAATAATAATGATAATAATAACAATATTATTATTATTTTACATTTTACATTGCAGAAAAGTAACAAGTAACTTTGATGTAATGTATTTGTAACAAATATTAAATAAAATAAAATTTAATTAAATGAATATGCAAGTAACACAGTTCAATAAGAACATAATAAAAAATTAATAAAATCCTCTGATTATGTAACACAGCTATTTTATTGCATTATCCCCAATGTGATTTTGGATTCTGAAAGCTTGTTGAAGAGTATTGTGGCTGAATTTTGGGTAAAAAATTCAACAGATCAGTTATTCTGCTGAAAGCTCCTGTCACATCACACTTCGCCATGCTAACTGTCTGGGTTTTTGAGCTCTTCTTCTTTGATTAAATCCTGGCTGTTTCATGTTAGTGGGGAGTTGGAGTCATGAGGACAGAGTGTCGTTCATGAAAAGCCCCCTTCCCACCCTGGACTGCCTAATGACATTTCCCTTCCACGCTGCCTGACGAGCTGTCAGATTCTTTTTTCGGCTTATTCTGCCCCTCTCTGACATTTCAGAGTTTTATTTTGATCTCTTTTATTCATCTGTACTCCATGATGAAGTCTGGACATATTCACATTTTTAAGAGAAGTCAATAAAGACTGGCATGTTAGGAAAGTTCCCCATATATTTGCTCCAGCATACCCTACACTCTCAGAGGCTGATCATTAGATCATTTTCAGTTGCTTCCTTATTCCTTATTGGTTAACGGAGATCAAACTCTCCTTATTTAACCTTGCAGTTTTTTTACTGGACATTATTGGACTCTTGTTAAAAATGTAGGACGGTTAGATGATCCACAGCCGAGTCTGCAGTGCAAAAAATCATTTTCTTAATCTGTATTTTTGTCTTGTTTGTCAGTTAAAAAAGATCAATTTACTTGGGGCAAAAATGCATAAGATAGTGAGACTTGTTTTAAGAGAGTTTTCTTTAAAGTAAGTATATTTTTCTTACTTCATTGGCATTGGAATTGTTTCAGTGCCCAAATCTAACAGAAGTTAGAAAGGTTTTTGCCCATGGGGCTAGAAACATAAACGTAATTGAAAATATTTTCTCTGAAAACAAGTTTCATTATCCTGTGCAGTTTTGCTTCTCAAGTGTTTTATGAATGCTGAGAATTTTTTTTTACTGAGAAACAAGATAAAAATACCAGTTCAGAAGATGATTTTTGCTGTATTTTTTTTATAAACTTTCTGAAAGCAAGTCTTGTGTCTTGTCTGGGGTGTGACAGACAGACTTGGAGGGAAGTCACCTCTTGTAAATGATGGCTCTCTGGGCGGCATGGCTGGATGAATGCCTTGGGTCCCAGAGGACGTGTGGAGTATGTTTCTCTGCGGCTCTTGGGAGAGTGTCTTTCATTTTAACCCCCTCGAGAGTACAAAGCACCAAGGAGGACAGACAACAACTCTAAATCTAACTTAGAGACGCCACCCTTGCGGTTACTGACTCTGATTCAATCAACACATACAAATGGGATTTTTATCACTGAAGGACACTACATTGACTTGATTGTTTTAAAATAAGAATGAAATTAAATAAGACAGAATAAGAAATCTGACCTCTAAACTGTCAATACAACAAAAGTCAAGTCATGGTTTAGTACTGTCTTTCACTGCATATAATCATTTTCTTAATCTGTAATTTTGCTTTGTTTTCAAGGAAAAAATATTTAAACATCCTTAACATAAGATACATTTATGTGAGAAACAGAAGTATTCATTACTTTTGTTTTGTTTTGTTTTGCAAGAAAACATCTAAACATCCTTAAAAGAGGATACATTTACTTGTGAAGCAAAAGCAGTAATTATTATTTAAATAATTATTATTTTGTCTTGTTTTCAGGAAAACATATTTAAACATCTTTAAAAAATATGTTTACTTGAGTAACAAAAATAATATTTTTTCTTGTTTTTCAAAGAAAATGTTAAAACATGTTTAAAAGAAGAAGAAATTACAAAAGTGATCGCTTTTTCAGGAAAACATGTAAACATGCCTAATATATATAAATTCATAAAGACACATTTACTTGAGAAACAAAAATAATTATTATTTTTGTTTTGTCATGTTTTCCAAGAAAACATCTCAACAAACTTAAAAGACAATACATTTGCTAAAAAAGCAACAACAAAAAAAGCGTTTTTTGTTTTGTTTTGTCTTGTGCTTTAGGAAAGCACATCTAAACATTTTAACAACTACATCATTTTGGCATCTCAAGTAAATTTATCTTGTTTTAAGGATGTGTACATATTTTTTCTATAAAAAAACAAGACAAATACAGAATTTGAGGAACAAAACAAAGAAAACCCACAAACAATCGTACAGCAGGACATGGGCCACTGTTATTTCAAAGCACACTTAGACACATTTTTGGCCAGCTCTGTATACACATTCATTCCCGTAAATCGCAGCAACAGCTACTGTTCCTCCAACACATGCATTAAGGTCTTGGCCAGCAACTGTCAGGCACACGGATACAGGGTCTGGACTAATGGAGCGGCCTCATACACACTCCCTGCTGGAGCGGGGCTCAGTGTGTCTGGCTAATTACAGCCAACCCTGCATGGCACTGTTAGGCAGCGATACACTGAATGCTGGCTCCAGCCGGCCTCTCTTAATGGGAGCTAATGGTTTCTGCAGTGGTAATGGCTGGCTTGCATGGCGAGATGTTGTTGGAGGCGCTGCCCGCATTGTGCTGGATTCTTTTGGTCGAGCTCCATACTCCCCTCCTTTGAGAGCCGTCCTATTATTGTGTTAGTATACACCAGTCCCTGGCCTGGCAGCAACACTCTCTCTCCCTGGGCTTTTATGTTTAATGCTTGTATATTTGTTTTTAATTCAGAGCTTTAGATCTATTTTTGTTTGATTTGTGTGCGTTTAGGGTGTGTTGACTTAACTGACTGTAACTTTAAACTTTGGCATAATTACATTTGAAATAAGACAATAAGAAATATGACCTCCAAAATGTCTATAGGTCATGTTATACACTGCAAATATATATTATATATTATATTATTTATATATTAAATGTATTATTATTATTATTGCTGTTGTTGTTGTCTGGTTTTCTAGGAAAACATCTCAGCAGCCTTAAAACAAGAAAATGCTAATCTGAGAGGCAAAAATAATCATTATTGTTGTCTTGTTTTTCAGAAAACAATATAAGCATCTTTCAAAGAGGATACATTTACTTGAGAAACAAAAATCTAATTTTGTTTTGTCTTGATTTAAAAGAAAACATCTAAACAACCTTATTCATTCATTTATGTATTATTTATTTATTTATTTATTATTTTGTGCTAGAACTATTGAATTTGATTTGTGTGCATTTAGGGTGGGTTGGTAGCTGACTAGTAAATTTCTAGCCTAATTAGTCAACTAGTCATTCAGAAAAAAAACACTGGCTAGTTGATTCTGAAAATATGTCGTTTTATACATCCCTAGTGTGCATGTGTGCATCTGTGTGTTATTTGCTTTCGTGATGTCTATCTATCTCTGTGGCTTTGTCTTCATTTCCCGCTTATTTTATTCCCATTTTCTTGTTCTCTTTATTCGCCTGTGTTCTTCCTCCTCTCATTCTTTGTTTTGTTTACGTGTTTTGTCTTTCTTGTCTAATTTCCTCTGTCCTTTCTGTCTCTCTTGTCTTTTTTTCTCTCTGTCTTCATGCTTCTTTCTCTCCTGCGATTGTGCGACTCGCTCGCGGCCCGGCATTGTCTTAGCACGACACCGGCTGATAAGTCCTTTGTGTCGTCTTGTTTCTGAAAAGTGTGGAGGCTGGCGAAACTGTCACTTATTTCAATAACCATCATGGCATTTCTATTACAATTATGATCTTGCCATACAGGGCCAGAGCCTGGAGCCCCCTGCAGCCACAAAGACCCATCAGCTCCCACATACTCATCACTCCCATCCTGTCAGCTGTCACCCTTATCTTTTCACATTTTAGTATTTCTTCTCAATAAATGACACACCACTGACAACAGCTCCATCAATAGTGCCTAGAAGATGCTTTGAAAAAGGAGAACATTCTAGTCAAAAAATGGCATTGTTGCTGTAGAGAAGTGGTTTGGGCATGTGCTCAGATACCAAAAACTCTGGTCCTAGAGGTGCGCTGTCCTAAAGAGTTTAAATTAGTGTTTTTAAAATTAGCGAGTTAACGTATGCAATAATTTTTTTCAGTTTAACACATTCAAAATATGCAATGCAATTAATGCTGGGGCAGAGCTAGGGTTAGCCACCCCTCTCACAACTGCTGCTTCTGTCTAGTTTTTCTTGACTAGAATTGCGTTTATTTATACGCATAATGTCTTTACAACCACATCGAATAGGAGACTTTTCAGATGCGCTCTCCAACTTCGCCTCAGCACCAGGCTCTAGTCAAATGAGCACGGAAAAGGTATAGGTGACGAGGGAGCTTCAGTAGAACAACAGTGAACTGCGGTCAGATGAGATGTTGTCAGGCCATATGTCAGTAAAACAAATTTTACTGTCCTGTCAGCCATTATACTGTGCTCGTAGCACGTGCTCTTCAATTGCACGCACAAATGCAGTGGCAGTGCTGTATATAATTTCGTATTAAAGTGCAAATTAAACTACGATCAT